GGAGCCTCCTCCCCTGCGGCAGGGCGAGCGGAGAGGGGCACGGGGCTGCCGCGGAGCCGGTCCTGCCTTCAACACCCCCACCTCCGCGGCACCTCCCTGCCCGGAGAGGGCAGGACGGGCCAGCACCGGGCAGTAGGAGGGCAGGAGGGTGTAGGGCGGGGGGCACCGCGGTCACCCCGCGACTTCTGGACCCGTGGACACGTTGGCCATGCTCCTTGGACACAGGTCCCCTGGCACAGCGGCGATGCTCTGAGAACACCCATCTCACTTCAAGTAATCCAAACTGGAATGCCCAGGCAGCAGTACCTACCGCCAGCATCCATCCTCCCATCCTTCCCAATGTTGACATCTTTATGGATGTAATTCTTTAACTAACTTAAGAAACAAAAATAAGTAGAGTCACGAAGATGACCAGAGGTCTGGAGCACCTCTGCTATGAAGACAGGCTGGAGAAGAGAAGGCTCCAGGGAGACCTTAGAGCACTTCCCAGTACCTGAAGGGGCTACAGGAAAGCTGAAGAGGGACTTCTTACAAGGGCACAGAGTGATAGGACAACGAGGAATGGCTTTAAGCTGGAAGAGGGTAGATTTAGTTCAGACTTTAGGAAGAAATTCTTCACTGTGAGAGTGAGACGCTGAAACCGGTTGCCCAGGGAAGTTGTGGCTGCCCCCTCCCTGGAAGTGTTCACAGCCAGGCTGGATGGCGCTTGGAGCAATCAAGTCTAGTGGGAGGAGTCCCTGCCCATGCATTGGGTTGGAACTAGATGACTTTAGAATCCCTTCTCATTCTACCCAAACCATTCCACAATTCTATGAACTAATGTAAATCACCTTAAGATAAGACAATGGGAGAGAAGGAACATAAAGACCTAAAACTGGGTACTAGAAACTTTATTGGGCCAATTGCCCAAGAGGCTTGGCGGTACCAAACCAGCTAAAAATCTGTCCTTTAAGTGAACTTGGCTAATTATTATATGAAAGCCACACCTCTGGAAGTTTAGTTATCTGCCTCAAGGCCCTCACACTCTGGGCTTGTGCAGCAAAATTAAAAGCCACTGTATTCTTAAATGGAGACAAGGACGCTCTACACCAACCAGCTTTAAGATAAGATAATAAGCACCTGTGAACAATGAATAGGCTAAATATGTTAATTTACAAGGTATAAATGTATGACTGTTCCAGTGTTGTGTGTTCTAGCTCTGTGTAAATAGCCCTTAGCATGGCTTCCTGTGCAGAACTGCTAGTAAATTGCTAATACCTTGACTCTCTGTGTTACTGGCTTGGACCCCAGGTAGATGAACCTGGGGTCAACATTTTGGGACAACATCCCCACCCTACATTTCACACCCATCCATTAGCACAGGCCAACCAGCTCTGAACTTCTGTGGTATCAGAAAATGTCTCACTCCTTGAAGATATTTGAAAGCTCTCACCTTGGCCAGGAGTGAAAGCACTTGCCAGATGTTGCCATGGAGTAGAAAAATTACTCAGATTTTTGGCCACTTGACTCAGATTTTGGTTGGATCTGCCATGATTTTTGCTTTGAAGGCAATGGAAAACATACTTTCAAAATACCAGATGTCCTTTCTCATACTGTATTGCTAAAAGATCTCTCTGTTGGTCAGGAAACACCGCCCTGGAGCTGAGGGACACATCAGGCCTAGATCTGGCATGACCTGGTGACTCTGCACCCGGTTTTGGAAATGCTCTGCTCAGTGCATGAGCCTCCAGGCTGAAGAGGGAGGTTACTGAGGAGCACAACTGCAGTGGACACACACCAGCCCTCTCGGCACGGTGGTACCTAACAGAAAAAAAATCAGATGTATTTCCCACTCCCAAACTATTGCATTTAAACTCCCTCTACTTCTCCCTGCTCCCCAGAGATCACCCACTAGTGAACTGGAGCTGCAGGGGTGCAAATGAGGCAAAGGGGCTGGAAGGATGTCAGCTTGCTGCTGTCTTCAGGGAAAACTCTACTTGCACTTCTTGGGTACCATCTGTCTGCTTGCCCACATGATTAATCTTGGCTCAAGTCATATCCCTGATGCTTCCATGGATTTATAAGCATCAGAACTGAAATTTCACAGTGCGAACATAAGTGCTGCTCTTTATATTGCAGATTTTGCCAGGGGCATAGATAGGGTGTTATTTACAGAAGAAATACATCAAAAAATGCATAAACTCTACTTCATGAAGCCTCCCAAATTCTTAATATAAGTATAGCATTATGGTAAGTTTCAGCTAAGGAAATAATTATGTATTGGGTTACCATTTTACACTGAATCTTCTATCCTTACTGTACCTCTCAAATAAAACTTCATAATAATGCTCAAGAAATTATTTGAAGCAATTTGGGAAAATGATCATCCACCTTTTCTTAAAGTAGCAAAAGTTCATTTTGACATTTTCATCAATACTGGCAAAAACATTATCTGGCAGAAGAAGGGAAGGTCAGAATCCAGCAATCTCCACTGCCCACACATCCCAGCTCTTTTCTCCTAGGCACAATAATTAGCACTTTCCCATTTCACTTTTATTATTAGTGAGGAAAATAACTACTCCAATAACAGTCTTCTTACCAGCATTGATTCACAAGGAATTGAGAATTAAGATATTTGGGAAATATGGCAAGATTAACACTTGCACTTGATATGCAAAGAATATCCATCAGAAGTTCCATGAGAGACAGCCTGTGCCCATGCAAGAGCCACTGGTGATACGATGCCTTGTTGAGTGGCTGCTGTACATGACAGCAGGTACTTCTACACCACACTTTTAACAATGACTAGGTTTTAAGATACAAATATAAATGTGAAATTGCATTTTAAACCAGCTGAATAAATAAAAAGATACATCTTTCTAGGGTTGTTTGTGAGTTTCATGACCAAAACAGAATTATGAAATTTCTTAAAGCTATACAGAAGATAAACATCTTTTTTTTTTTTTTTTAATTTATTATTAAAATGTTTTGCTTAATACTATAACTAAATAATGCAGGCTGTTTCTTATAGTCTGAGCAAGAAAGTCTAACACACAACCTAAGTGCGCTGGTATGCTACAATTCCTCGCCAGCCCTGACTCCTCACATAAAAGAAGCAGTCAGGCTCTACACACCAGTGGCAACAGAATTACTCAGAAGAGGCATATGCATACATTTTCTGAAATGTATCTGCTGATTTAAAAGATACATTTTAGTATAAAGATTAATTAGTCTCAAAACAAGTCATCCATATAGAGCAACAAAAAGACTTGCCCGGAAAAGATTATGATTTTCAGTGTTTCAAGTAACCAGGTGGTCAAGATTAATTTCTGGTTTGTAACAGATACTTCAAAGCTGAATAAGCAGAAGAAATACTTTAAAAGAGATGTTCTGATTTAATGGTTTAACTCAATCATTTATTATTTATGCCACTTATGCTGGGGCCAATGCCACCTTACCTTTAATTGCATTAAGACAGGCTGGTGTAACAAAGTTACAGCTAGCAATGCTAGCTGAGTGCACAGTCAGATTTTCCTTCCATGGTTGTAACCAAACACACCTATTCATTCAGTTACCACTCTGAGCCATGATGGCTTTTGGAGAACCTGGGAATGGAGATGATACTGGTCTGTTAAAGCTGCAAAGCTGGGCAGATTCCACTCACAGGCAGAAATCCAGATCTCATGATCTTGGTAGGTACTTCTTCCCACAAACAGCACACCAGCAGCAGCGCAATCTGGCGCTCAAGACTAACACAGCTGTGGGCTGTGAGAAGGGTAGCACAACACTGAATAAAACAATCCAAAATAACCCACCTATCAAAAGAGAAAAATGTCCCCAAAATTTATTAACTGTGCTATCATCTGTTATGGATCAGCTGTGACCTTTAAGTTTTTCCATACTCTGGATTTCCTCTGTGTTGTAGGAGTACCAGTATGTGGCATGAGATCACACGTGTGTGGTATCAGTAAACATATTCTGTCTTCTCTTTCAATAGAAAAAAATAACCTTCCAAATTAATAGTCACTTCAGATTCACAGAGTTCTTGTATCAAGCCAGTATTTAAACCATCTTCCAAGTAATAATTAAGACCAGGATATGAAAAAGGGCCACAGAGGGAAACAGGCAGCAGCAGCAAAAAAAGTTGTAATTTCTTTTTGCCCGATTTCATTACTTGTCTACAATCCAGCCTTCTGAATACTTCCCACTTTCCGAAAAGCACTGCTGAGAAATGGGAAGTGCTGAGTGCAGCACTGGCTACAGGATCAGAACTTTTGGCAGGACTCTTTGGTGCAAAAAAAAATATTTCACAAGAATAATAAAGACCAGGAGATTCTGTGAAGCCTATGTATGTATGGAACCAGCAAGAAAATTCTGGAGTTTCCTCAGAAATGTGGCCTATGTAAGATGATCAGCCAAGCACCCAGCAAGTAGATGAGGTAGAAATCATTATCACCTTGCTTTAAGCTGGTCTTTGGATGATTTGCTGATGGATCCACGTCCCTTTTGTGGAATAAAATTACTTAAGCATACATAGGCAACTACTTCCCTAAACTTCAGATATGTAACCTGTAAAAGTAAGGGACAAACGTGCTTACAGCTTGTGCTTCAGACAGACAGCTTGTTTAAGTGCATCTGTGGATGAGGGCCAGAAGCCCCCACACCTCACTTCATCACGCTGGTACACAGGCTGCACTGCTCATGCTTGATTTCTGCTGGCCGCATTACATGCAGCCATTACCTACCCTCCCACCCTGTCTGTTTCAAAGCCTTAGAAGGCTCTCATAAAAACGAATTATAAATTATATTATTACATCTATGCAGAGCTTTTCTTCCCAAATAATCTTACAAGCTGAAATACATCTATGTTGTACATACATGTGTAAATGTGTATATCGGAGGCACTGGAGAGCAGGACTCGCAGCCAACCAGCAAAGGCATATTACAGTTAAGGCTACCATGAAAAGAGAAGATCAAATTTTTATTTACTTTTATTAGGCCATAAAATGTGGTAGCTGGAAGCTTACTGTCAAGATACTGAGGTTCTGATATGGTTTGTTTTTTTTTCTTCAGTCCTCAAATGTGATTTTCCCTCATGGCTCAGTTCAGTAAGATAATCCAATTCAAGCATTTCAGCCTCCAGAGCACTCATCTCAAATGAATAAATGCTTCTGTGTGGTCACAACAGATCATCAGGCTCTTCTGACAGTTGCTGCTTCAGCCTAAGTGTCTGTGATCTATCTGCTCGTTTAGTCACCCTGTAGTGTCAAACACTCGTTGCTTTTCTTTCTGGTTTCAAACACCCACAGTATTTCTATTACTTGATTACAATCATAATTCTGCCTTTCACCAAACCAAAACGTACTAATTGCTCAATTTCCATTTCATTAACCTATTATATTGACCTGATTTTCCATATAGCTTGCTTCAGGTTTCCACTGCTGTGATTTTATGCCTCCTCAATTTGTGCATGAAATTCTTTACCCCTCCTAGCACTAGTGCATGCACAAGATCTGCCAAGTAGACTTGGTACAAAGATGGTGGCATGACTCAAAGGAGACAGCTGATTCCTAGCCACCCTCCCAACTTGGTTGCCCTGGAATCACATCCAGCTCCTCCTGAAGTTCACCACCAAGTTCTCTGTGTACTCATCTTTAACACGGCCAGTACCACAAGCAAAAATCCACCATACCTGCCTCCCCAGCAATAAAGATATAATCAGCACTTCTGGATCGAAATGTTCCTGATTGAGCATATACGAGTGCAAAAAAACCTTATTATAAATGACTGATAGCATTGCAGAATGTTCTGGTTAAGTTTAAAAAATGTGACTCCTTCAAAAATACTATTTTATCAAAGCTGTTATAAAATAACTTCTGCACAAAATTTCTCCACAAAAATTCTGATTTACCAAGCAACAAGGCTGCAACTCCTCACCAGCCCAAACTTCAGAGCAGCGATGTCAAAGGACGTGTTGCTGCCAGACAGATCCAGGCACACAACAGCTCACCAGGAGAGCTGGGACAGGAATTTTTCCCATCTCAGACCCAAGCACAAACCTCATCATATGCTTTAGTTGACATTTTTGTACTCGATGAAGAGTAAGGGAATTTGGAAGGTTCCTACAAACAATACAAACCCTTTCAAGGTTATTGACGGTAACTGAAGAATACAAGCCTGCACTCCTCACCAGCCCAAACTTCTATCCAGAGCAGCGATGTCAAAGGACGTGTTGCTGCCAGACAGATCCAGGCACACAACAGCTCACCAGGAGAGCTGGGACAGGAATTTTTCCCATCTCAGACCCAAGCACAAACCTCATCATATGCTTTAGTTGACATTTTTGT